GTCGACGAATAGGTGGAATGTGTCGATGTGTTTTTCGTTGGTCTTTTCCAGGATTTGGCGCAGAGTGGAAATCTGGTCAGTAGTGGATTTGCCAGGTCTGAAGCTGCATTGGTATGGTCCAATAATGTCGTTGACCATTCGCTTCAACGCTGGGTAGCACTTTATTCCTCTATAGTTGGCACATATCGTCTTGTCTCCTTTTTTGTGCACGGGACATAGGATGCTGAGGTTCCAATTATTGGGCGTGCATCCCTCTAGCCAAATTGTACTAATTACAAATTGTACAAATTGTACTAATTAGGTGCATGCTACTGACCAGCATCTGACCACCAGTCTTGAATAGTTCGGCTGGTAACCCGTCGGCTCCTGCTGCTTTATTGTTCTTGAGCCGATTAATTGATTTTATGACCGCATCTTGGCTAGGTGGCATACATTCTATACCCTCATCTGTTATTGGTTCTGGGGTATCTTCTTCACCGCCACTATTTGATACCAGAAGATTTTCAAAATCCTCCTTTCAGATCCTCAACACGCTGTATGTAACCAGGTTTCCATCTTCATCTCTACAGGAGGATGTGCCTGCGCCAAAGCCTTCGGTTTGGTGTTTTACTCGTTGGTAAAATTTTCGGACTTCATTCTTACTCCTGTACATCTCGATCTTCTTATTCTCACTTTCTGGTTCTTTCTTCTATTTCCTTAAAACACGTTTCTCCTCTCTCCTTTTCTCCAGACAATTCTCCATCGCATTACGTATTGCTTCTGTCTGCAGGGCTGCCCTATACGCTGTATTTTTCACATCAGTAACATTACGACACCTCTGATCGTACCATGGATTTCTTGGTGGTGGTTTTTGGTACCCAAGTGTTGCTTTTGCAGCAGTTTGTAGGCAGTGGGCTATTCTTTGCGATGGTGCTTCTATACTATTATCGTGACAAAAGAAGTGCTTTCGTCAAGCAGGTGGTTATGTTGAGCGGAGTAGGCTACCTGTTGTGTTTGCAGATTTTCGACGTCGAGTTCCCGTGTTGTGTTAGATCGCACCTTTGCTGCAACATTAAGACGAGTGCAAACCTTGGCTGCTACAAGGTATTGATCCGAATCGATATTCGCTCCTCGGTTCGATCGAACGTCTAATACACTGAATGAATGCCTTTAGTCTATCACAACATCATCAATTTGATTACTCATTGCTTGATCAGGAGAAATCCAGGTGGCCTTGTGTATATCGAAATGCTTGAATCTGGTGCTGCTAACTGCCATGTTTTATGCTGCCGTGAAGTTAATCATACTCATGCCGTTGTCGGATGTTTCTTCGTGGAGGCTGAATTTTCCGACAATTTTTTCCCTTCCAATTTTTGCATTAAAATCTCATAGCAGAATTTTAATGGCATGACCAGGAAGCGATCATATGCTGTTTCTAGGCGCTCGTAAAATATGTATTTGGTCTGCTCATCTTTGTCTTCAGTCGGAGCATGGGCGCAAATAAGACTGGTGTAGAAGATAACTTCGCTTTTATGCGGATTATAGCAATTCGCCATCTACTGGAGTGAATCTGGAGACGAGGTCTATTATTCTCCTGTTAACCATAAATCCGCAGCCAAATTCATGTCTCGTTTCATGGCAGCTATAATACAGTGCGTAATCGTCTAATTTCCTTACGCCTGTCCCTTTCCATCGCATTTCCTGTAAGGCAATAATATCGGCTTTGTACTTCTTGAGTACATCCGCCAAAGCGAGCTATGCCAAGGACCATATAAAGGTTTTGATTTTATCAAGGACTTTTTATTTAAAGACTTGAATTTTTTAAGAGATTTTATTACCCACTTCAATATTATGTTTCGCATTTATTTATTTGTTTTTGTTTGTTAAATCAGTTTCTTTCCTAATTAGAACCAACTATTTACACTTAATATCCCCACCCCTTATCCGATATGGAACTTATCTTCATCTTGAATATTTTTTTGAATAATTTGTTCTCCTAATTAATAAACATACGACATAATTAAGCACACATCGCTCATAAAAACTCTAAAGGTAATAAAAAAAACATTATCACTTCTCAACTAAATCCCAAATCGAACGGAAGTTACCAAAAATGAATTACACCCTATTCGAAACGGATCCATTGCGTTCCGTGACAATACTACAGTCGGAGGATGTTAATAATTTTGTGGCCACAGCTTTACGCTATATTATAGAAAATATTTTTCTTAAAATGTCCAACTCTGTGGTGATAACAATATCGACCAGTGAACTGGCACCTGAACTATGGTTTCAAGATCTAATGGCTCGGTTATTTGCCACATGGGGTTTTATGGCCATCAGGTTGATAAATTACAACCACAAACGACAAGATGTCGCGGTACATGGAAGGCTTTTAATGAACATGATAATGGTGGATTCGTTTGAGAATTTAAAGCGTACTAATATATCACGACACAATAGCATCTACGATACTCAAGAGTTCTATGTAATATTTCTACAAGTACCTGACGAAACGGTACCCGAACAACGACAAAAAATTCTACAATATTGCCTAGATAATTATTGGCTTAATTGTAATGTGATGATCCAAAATTCGCGAGGCGAAGTATTGATCTATACCTATTTTCCATTTCGTGAGAATGCATGCTATCAAACCGATCCGGTGTTAATAAATCAATTCGATGGCGAACATTTCGTCAATGACATTATGTTTCCGCATAAATTACGAAATCTCCACGGTTGTCCAATACACGTGAGTCTTTGGGAGGTGCCACCGTTTATTATATTCCCTATCAATGAAACGGATAAATTTCATGGTCTCGAAATTGTCATATTAAAAGCTTTAAGTGCTGATATGAATTTTACCTATGATAAGGAAAATCTTATGAAGGAATTGGCATTGGGCAATAAGCGAACGGATCCATTTAAATTGGTGAGTAGAAATTAATCAGATTTTTATAATACATAACAATTTTTAAGGTAAGCTATTCACTACCCACAATTTGTATACAAAGATATGGCGCCCAATGAAAGCCCACAATATAATTTTTCAATAAGTGGAACTTTCTCAAATTTAATGTTCTCTCCTCCCCTTTCCTCACAGCTCCAGCAACGAGCTACAAATATATCCGCAGGATTTTTACGCCGTACTCCCGAAACAGATGCCTTGGCTACGCCCAGTTATGTTACCTACAATTTACCCCTGGTCGCTGTGGTAGTACGCCGACAAAATAACTACGAATCAATGGATATGTTATTATTTCCCTTCGATACCGCCACTTGGATTATTTTATTAATAAGTTGCATTATTTTAATAATTATCAATTATTTCCGACAGAAACGTGTACGTTCCGCCTCTACATGGCAAATTGTGGAATCCCTGTTGGGAGTACCTTCTATACGAATACCCAAACGATTTTCACCACGAGCTTCTTTCGTTATATGGATGTTTTCGGCATTTATTTTGCGTTCGGTTTATCAATCTCTACTCTTCTATTTATATCATACACAATTCTATCGGTCGCCACCAAACAGCTTTTCGGATTTGGCAGCAGCTGGTTATAGGGCTGTATGTACCCAAAGATCGGAACCTCTGCTAAGGAATATACCACATTTTATGGACAAATCATTTCCCTTAATTGTCTTGAATACCACCGATGAAATGGAACCCCTAAGATATGTCGATAAAAATTCCCATGTAAATTATGTCGGTATAACGGTAAGAGAATTCATCTACTATTATGTCCACACGGAATTGTCCAGAGGTCAAGTATTGGTATTACTCACCTTGAAATTGAATGATCAACAGTTAAGCTTTTATCTTCCGAAACATTCGTATTTGGCTCAGCGATTACATCGCATTTTATTGGTTTATCATCAGACGGGATTTTTGGAACGTTGGCGTAAAAAGTCCTTGGAGGCATTTAGTGTGTCACGTACTACATATTCGACTAAATACGAGAGTCAATTATTAATAAATATGAAACAAATTATGGGTTTCATATGGGTATTAATAATTATGCAGGCTTTGTCCATAGTTGTATTTGTGTTGGAGTTGTTATCGAAAAAGATTGATTTTCTTAAGAGAGTTTTATTAAAACTGCATTAAAATTTAAAAAAAATTAAATTTTTTTCACTTATCTCTTACTAAAAATTCATTGACGTTTCATTAGTATTCATAGATTTTTAATATCCTAAACTCTCAGTGTATTCATTTTTGCTGTTGAATAAAATTGTCAGATGTTTATTAAAATACAACTCTGAAATTGTGTTCACATATGTCAAAAAGAAAATTGAAAATTCAATAAGAGAACCTGCATTTTCATATGGGTTTTAAAGCACCCAACTAAGGCGTGGATTTTTTAAATATAGTTTTAAGGTACACAATTAAGGCGTGGATTTTTTAAATATAGTTTTAAGGTACACAATTAAGGCGTGGATTTTTTAAATATAGTTTTAAGGTACCCAATTAAGGCATGGATTTTTTAATATAGGTTTAAGGTACCCAATTAAGGCATGGATTTTTTAATATAGGTTTAAGGTACCCAATTAAGGCGTAGTTTTTTCAAATATTTTCAAAGCACCCAACATGACGTGGGCTTTTTTTAAATATTTTAAGGTTCTGAATTAAAGTGTAATTTTTTTCAATATTTTAAGGTTCTGAATTAAAGTGTAAATTTTTTTTTAAATATTTTAAGGTTCTGAATTAAAGTGTAGATTTTTTATGATTACTTTTAAAACTTACTTACTTTTAAAAATGTTAATGTATTTTTTAACCTCTGAAACAAAAAAACGCATTTTCCATGAGGTCGTACTTGTAACACAATGTAATGAGACTCATCCCTCTCTCTCTGAACACTTCCCAAAATATAAATGACAAGCGGTTGCTGCAGCAACACGAAGAAGAAGCAGCATTACTGACAACATACAAAAAATTGCAAATTCACGCAATTGCCAATACAAAACTCAGCCAATAAATTCAACGAATTTGTATTAATAAATTTAATTGGCAACAGTAAATAATATATAAATAATGACAACTGGTACTGTTCCTGCTGATGGTGTGCGAGAGAAGGCACTCTTTGAATATCGGAAAAAGTTATTGGAACACAAAGAAGTCGAGTCCCGACTGAAGGAAAGTAAGTATATGCCGGAAAGAATACTGGACGAGGAACATATTTTAATTTTTCGTTTTATTTCCTTTTATAGAGCGTGAAGAAATTAAGGAGCTAACAAAACAATATGATAAATCGGAGAATGATTTGAAAGCCTTACAGAGTGTTGGCCAAATTGTCGGAGAAGTGTTGAAGCAGCTTACCGAAGATAAATGTAAGAACAAACAATTAAATGGCAAGGGGTTAAGGGGCAAACTTTTTGTACAAAATGGCCTATAGCTAAATCTAGGAAAATTTGCCTATGTTCACGATAATACATTTATTTTTAAAACAATGAAGATTTTGAATGATATGTTGATAGTTAAAATGCTTAAATCAAGGCCAATCATCTTGCAAAGTCCCATGACAGTGGAGTCTACGATCTCCAACTACCTTTTCCAAACATTTAAATACGTTTTTAATTTTGAAAGTAAAACAACATTGTCGATGCATTTTTACCTATAAAAAAGCCATATCATTGTAACCAAGTTACAGCTCAATACAAAGCTATAGTAATCTCAATGGAACCATAAAATATTTCCATATCTTTATTTATATCACTGTAACCAAGTTACAGCTCAATATATAGCTGTAGTAATCTCAAAGGACCCCTAAACTACCTCCAAATCGCTTTTATTTTTTAATCATATTTTTCTAATATTTGTTTTTAATTTCTTTTCCAGTTATCGTTAAGGCCACAAATGGTCCACGTTATGTTGTTGGCTGTCGCCGTCAATTGGACAAGACAAAATTGAAATCGGGAACCCGTGTTGCCTTGGACATGACCACCCTAACCATTATGCGTTATCTGCCACGTGAAGTTGATCCCTTGGTCTATAATATGTCACACGAAGATCCTGGTGATGTCAAATATTCCGCTATTGGTGGTCTTTCTGAACAAATTCGTGAATTGCGTGAAGTTATTGAATTGCCTCTGCTAAATCCTGAACTTTTCTTACGTGTTGGTATTACACCACCCAAGGGTTGTCTTTTATATGGTCCACCCGGTACGGGTAAAACTTTACTTGCTCGTGCTGTGGCATCCCAGCTGGATGCCAACTTCCTTAAAGTTGTCTCATCTGCCATTGTTGATAAATATATTGGTGAATCGGCACGTTTGATTCGTGAAATGTTCAATTATGCACGCGATCATCAACCCTGTATTATATTTATGGATGAAATAGATGCCATTGGTGGTCGTCGTTTTTCGGAGGGTACTTCGGCTGATCGTGAAATTCAACGTACTCTTATGGAGCTGCTGAATCAAATGGATGGTTTTGATGCCTTGGGTCAGGTTAAAATAATTATGGCCACAAATCGTCCCGATACATTGGATCCTGCCCTGTTGCGTCCCGGTCGTTTGGATCGTAAAATTGAAATTCCACTGCCAAATGAACAAGCTAGGTAAACATTTTTTATCGTTAAATATTTTATAAGGAAATATTAAATTATTATATTAATTTTACAGAATGGAAATCTTGAAAATCCATGCTCAAAAAATTGCCAAACATGGAGAAATCGATTATGAAGCCATTGTCAAACTTTCGGATAATTTCAATGGTGCTGATTTGCGTAATGTTTGCACCGAAGCTGGTCTTTTTGCAATTAGGTAAGTGAATTTTACCATTGATTTAAATTTAAGGCGTGTATTTAAAAAAAAATATTTTTTGGGAGGCGTGGATTTTTAAGAAATATTTTTTGGGAGACGTGGATTTTTAAAAAAAATATTTTTTGAGAGGCGTGCATTTTTAAAAAATATTTTTTTGGGAGGCGTGGATTTAAAAAAATATTTTTTGGGAGGCGTGGATTTAAAAAAATATTTTTTGGGAGGCGTGGATTTAAAAAAAATATTTTTGAAAGGCGTGGATTTTAAAAAATATTTTTTTTTGGGAGGCATGGATTTTTAAAAAAAATTTTTTGGGAGGCGTGGATTTAAAAAAAAAATATTTTTTGAAAGGCGTGGATTTTAAAAAATATTTTTTTTGGAAGGCGTGGATTTTAAAAAATATTTTTTGGGAGGCGTGGATTTTTAAAAACTATGTTTTTGGGAGGCGAGGATTTTAAAAAATATTTTTTGGGAGGCATGGATTTTTAATAAATATTTTATTGTAAGGCTTGGATTTAAAAAAAATATTTTTTGGGAGGCGTGGATTTAAAAAAAAATCAATAGGCTCCAAAATATTTGACCTAATTTTTTCAATGAGTCTAAATTTATACCAAAATTCAACATTTCTTCTTTCTCTCATCTTTTTCCAGAGCTGAACGTGAATATGTCATTCAGGAAGATTTCATGAAAGCTGTACGCAAGGTGTCCGACAACAAGAAATTGGAAAGCAAATTGGATTATAAACCAGTCTAAAATTAAACGAAAAAATGCATACTTTATTTTTTACACATTAAAAAAAATAATTATATAAAGAAATTAATCATTCTAATTTAAACATTTGCTTGTTTTCCTCCCATATAAAATAAAAAAATACAATATTTGTAAAATACGAAAAAAAAAACATCCTGAAATTTGTCCTTTATTTTTGTTTCTCTTCGATGCGTCTCTTTTTACGTTCCAAATATTCACTAACATTATCGAATTTCTTTTTAAACCATGCTGAGATATCTTCGGGTGTCCAGGTGTAATCTTTGAATTGTTCTTCTATGACGCTCAACCAATTTGTTGGTGGCTCGGGGCTTTGGGGTGACAATCTTATCGTCAAATGATCATTGACAACACCCACAACATAAAGACGTTCTCCGGCATAAGCCAAATTGCAGCAAATAACATCTGGGAAATTTAACACCTCCCCGACACTAAATTCCCATTGTCCATTTTCTCCTTGGGTAATTTCGTATTGCACCACACATTCATTGGGTTGATGCAACAACACGGCCAATTCAAATTTATTTGAATTGTGACATTTTAAAGCTAATTTAATACCAGGTGCTGGTAATTCGATTGTCTTCAATTCTTTGCCTTCTTTGTAGTTCCACAGTTTTAGGGTTTTATCACCAGAAACGGATAACAAAGTGTTCTCATTCAGCAATGCCATGCCAGCGACGAACTCCTTGTGACCCAAACAGTATGTGTGGATTTCTGCTGTCTCGGGATAATTGGTAACACGTATTTTATCATCTCTATCACAGGTTACAATGTATTTTTCATCCGCTGACCACAATACATCATAGACAATACTCAAGTGACCCAATAGAATTTTGGGAGCTGCCTCGAAATCTTCACAACTATATTCATAACAATCTCCAGTCTTGTCGCACACCAGCAAACGTTTAGAATCCGCACTAAATGTAATGGCACTGGAGGCACGAGCCAAATTTCTTATCGACACCAATTTAGCAAGTTCAGGTCGCAAGGTGTATAACAGCACAGCTTTTTGTCCTGAAGTGGTTATGGCCACCAGTTGGCGATTCGGTGACATCTTAACATGTTGTATTGTTGGCAGTTCCTTGGTCAGATTTTGTTTATGTGTGGTTTTCTCATCACCTTGTTCATTATCCTCATTGTTTACATTTCCTCCTTCTTTTAAGCCACAGCTTGTCAAGTCCTCTGGTAAAATGATTTCCTTAAATATTTGCAAGTCATTTGGATTCACAAAAATAACACTCCTATTTAGGGCAATGACTAATTCGGGTTCCACATAAAATACGCTGGTCATATTTCTTTTGGTATTAACAAAAAAAATGGGAAAGATAAACAACGTGTTGGCCGGTGTGTGCGTGCTTTGTAGTCCAATGAGAGAATAATAATGAATCAGCTGTTGAGTTGCTGTTGTTGACTGTCAAAAAGTGTAAGTACCGAGTACTTCTCAATAGTGTTACTGTATATAGATAAATAAAGTGGCCTAGTGACAAGGCAAATTAAGATTGCATTCATGGGATAAAGCGGTGTACACACTATCACTTTTGAATGAGACTCTTGCCCAAATTTGCTGGTTTGATATTGTGACCTCTCATGTCCACCACGAAATGCTAACAACATATTTTATCTTTTTTAGGACTAAGCTATTGCAAAAACTATTAAATAAAAAAATGCCTTTTCTTAGCAGATTATGCTGTACGCCATATGGGATCCGCTATTTTGAATCTGATGCCGGATTTTGAATCTGATGCCGGATTCGTAAGCAGGGACCCCGAAAACATCGGACTGATGCGAATCTAATCAATTTTTGGAAATAAAGTCCGCCATATTGGAACCGACATTTTGAATTTTTAAAATCTGATTCCGGATTCGTAGTCAGCGACCCCGAAACCCCCTGAGTAACGATTTTTAAGCTAACATTTTAACTTTTTAGACTTTAGGCCAAAATTTTGCATTGCGGGCTCACTGTGTGTTGTAGTGATAATTTTTAGATGGTTATCAATTTCAATTTATCACATTGATTTCAACAAGTGGCAACTATAATGTCAATTCTCAAAAGATCTGGTAATATGGTAACATATTGCAAAAATTTGTTTACATCTTGTTTAGGGCAGCGCCAAAAAATTCTTTTTGTTCAATCCTCCGAATACAACTGTGAAGTAATGCAAAAATTAATTTCCGAATGAATAATTAAACTCATTGTTAAAGAAATCGTAAAAGCGTCAATATGTCGTCGGAAGATGCAGACTATTTGTATGCATTGGAAATGCAAAAACGCCTGAATGCCCTGGAAGGTGAGGGCGATAGTGATATAGAAGAAATCGATTTTAAGAAGCCGCCGGTAAAGAATTTCAGCATTAAAAACAAAAAACCTCTACAAATTAAACGCAGTAATCCCCATTCAAATCTCGATGAAGAATTTCTTAATCGCACCCAGAATCTGGTTCATCCCCAGTGGGAGACATTGGATCCAACACCAGATATTTTCTCACTCTTTGGACAATTCGATACGAAGTTCTTTCAGGGACGACTGAAATGTGTTACTCTGGAATGGAGTAAACGTATGTACAGCTGTGCTGGAATATGTTACTCGCGTCGGAATCGTTATGGCATGGATATCACCATTCGGCTGAGTGAGCCGTTGTTGAAGCTGAGAACACGCAAAGATTTGGTTGAGACCATGTTGCACGAAATGATACATGCCTATTGTTTTGTATTGAATATACGTGAGGGTAACGGTGGTCATGGTCCAAATTTTAAGAAAATTATGCATAGCATTAATACGGTGGCGGGGACTAACATCACCGTCTACCACACATTCCATGATGAAGTGCAGCTGTACAAACAACATTGGTGGCGTTGTAATGGCATCTGTCAGGATCGTTCACCATTTTTTGGTTATGTTAAGCGGTCATCGAATCGTGCTCCGGGTCCTAATGATCAATGGTGGGCCAGTCATCATGAATCGTGTGGTGGCACATTTATGAAAATCAAAGAACCCGAAAAGAAAAAGAAGGGCCGTCCATCGACCAAAGAAAAGGATGGCAAGGCATCAGCAGCACCGGCAGGATCCACAGATTTACGTAAGTTTTTCACACCACAAACTTCGACAGCAAACAGTACGTCATCATCGTCGTCGGCTTCATCAAATGTTAAGGGCTTTGGTAATTTAAATGGTGGCTTTAAAGGTGGGTTTTGCAAAAAAAATCTCTTTTTTTTGTTATGTTTCATGTCCACCTTTACTCTTGCAGGACCTGTTAAAACCAATGGTGGGGGTACCATGCTATTAAATCCCAAAACTAAAACGAACACAACCACCAATAACAACAATACCCCCACAAATACATCATCCATAGCTAAGGCTTTCCCACCATCATCATATCCTGGCTTATCATCAGATCCATTTAATGTGGATTTGAATAGAACAGGAGGAGCAGGTGCAGGTTCTGCAGCGGGTAAACGAAATACCACTACCACAACACCACGCACACCTGCTGTGGGCAATCTTCGCAATGTAGTGGGTTTTAAAGATATTGGTGGTTTAGGCGGTTGTAGCTCCTCATCCCCATCGGGAGGAGGAGGTAATCCTGGTCGTGCTGTATCAGGCTTCAAAACAACCAACTCGTCGGCTAGTTCAAGTGATTGGGGTCGTGGCATGTCTCTGACAAATAGTTCACATAACGTATCTATCTCCTCTAGTCCTGAGGGTGAGACGGTAGATCGTAAACATTTGCGGGATCTATGGTCCAAACGTTTTGGTGGTAGCAATAGTGGTGGTGGTTTTCGTTGGACTTCGAGTTCTAATGATAAAAGGAATAGCAATGATTTATCAGCAGGTGAGTTCATGCTAGAAAATAGAATTAAATAGGTAGATAAATTGATGTGTCAGAATTTCTGATATTAGACTTTTGCGAGGCCTTCAAAAGCTAATAGATACAATGATTTCGGAGATATTTGATCTGGCTTTCAAAGTTTTACTATACATAGGACTTTTCTAGAAGAAGAGCTCTCAAGGACGTCTAAGAATAGTTCAAGCCATCGCTGGGACATAAAATATGTGACCACACTGTGGTGTAGGGTATTATGTCTTTGTGCATATGTTTGTAACAGGCAAAAGGAAACGAGATAGACACTTGGCTCCTTTAGAGAATATACATAGAATCATTTTCTGAGTCGATTCTGTATGTCTGTTCGACCATTTGCCTCTCCATGTCAAATTGTAAACAAAGTACTGGTCGCATTTATGATTCGAATTGGATGAAATTTGGCACAGCTCATTTATTTTGCCTAGGGTCGAATTTGGGATAAATCAGTTCAGATTTAGATATTGCTTCCATATATATTTTCGTCCGATTTTAAGTAAATGGTGCACCAAGGTCCTTATATATCTCTCGATTTGCACGAAATTTTGCATAGCGTACTGAATTAAGTCTGGAGTAATGTATGTTAAGTTTCGTGAAAATCGCTTCAGATTTAGATATAGCTCCCATATATATTTTCGTCCGATTTAATGTAAATGGTACACCAAAGTCTTTATATATCTTTCGATTTGCACGAAATTTCGCACAGCGTATTGCATTAGGTCTGGAATGATGTGTGTTAAGTTTCTTAAAAATCGTTTCAGATTTAGATATAGCTCCCATATATAATTTCGTCCGATTTAATGTAAATCGTGAACCAAAGTATATATTCTTCGATTTGCACGAAATTTGGCATAGCGTACTGAATTAAGTATAGAATGAGGAATGCAAAGTTTCGTGAACATCGGTTATGATTTACATATAGCTCCCATATATATTCCGATTTTAGGTAAATGGTGCACCAAAGACCTAAAGTTTGTTCGATTGGCACACAATTTTGTGCAATGTACTGAATTTAATATAAATTAAACTCTGGCAAGTTTCGTTGAAATCGCTTCTGATTTAGATATAGCCCCCACATATATATTTTCGTCCGATTTTAGGCAAATGACACCGTTAAAACCCCGAACAAAACATTGATGACGTTTGCATTGTTTGCTTTAAATAAATTTTCCCTAAGTTCATATGTAAATCCAATTATTCATTCCTTTCCTTTTAGGTGATTCCAAACGTCGGCGTATATCCAGTGATGCACCATCTTCAAATAATGATAATGATGATATCATCTTTGTGGCCGATGAAAGTTCAGGCCGAAAGAAAAATAAATGGGAAGTTGTTGATGATGATCTGATGATAAACGATCAACCGCCAGCTGTTATAACACTCTCCTCCGATGATGATGACGACTCCGACACAGAAGGTTTAAAACCAAAAATTAACAAAAATATGACCATGGATCAGAGACAGACATTAATAAAACAAGAAATTATAGATGAATCGGTAGATTTATGTGATGATGAAATTGAACTAATAGACGATGAGTATGATGATAGCCTTAGCGCAGCTGCAGAATTGGCTGATACCAGTGTCATTGATGAATTCTTCGGTGAAGATACCCTACTCAAAGAATTCAAAAGAGAAAATGACTGTAAACCCTCATCGTCCAGGCATCAAATGGATCCGGATAGTGATATAATTACATGTCCCATATGTCAAAGTAAAATGACCCGTGCCGTGTTTGCGGAACATCTTAATGGCTGTACGGGCATTACAAGAAAAATACTACCACCCAAAACGGCACTTAAAAAATTGGCTGCCATTTCTAAAGAGGCTAGACCTAAACGTAGACCCAGACCTTCGTCGTCCACTACACGAGATATATTGCGGAATGCCGGTTATTCTGATGCCGATTTGGCAGCAATCCAATCGGCCAGTAGTATGGATGAAGATGATGAAGAAGATGAATTTCTACGTCGATCTGGCATTTCACGTAGAAGTAACAACAATACTACCACTGCATCTACCATTTCATCGCCCCAAGATTTAAATTCCTCATCTGAAGATGAGAACACCAGACGATTCCGTTTACGTAATGTTTACAAGACCACAAGACAGTGTCCCGTCTGTGCCAAGGAAGTTGAAGAGACACAAATGAACACCCACTTAGATGTTTGCTTGCTGTAAACCCCATCCTCCTCCTCCCCCACAAACATTCAACCGCTTTATAGACTTTAAATTGATTTATTTCTTATGTTACCTTTTTTGCTTAAATAGAATTTGTGTTGTGTTTTTGTTTAATCATCATTTTGGACTCCTCCTTAATATTATTAACAAACAATAAATCATCGTTATTATTACAAGCTTATAAAATATTACCAAAATATTTGATTTTCTTGCAACCCAAATATTCGATTTTTGTCAATGGTTCCCACTGTACTATCATCACATCCAGATAAGGCAACAATATCCGTCCCGACATCGATATATCGTTGACTCGACAAAAACTCTCAACATAGACCAGTTTTGTTTTCGACCTTCGTGCCAGCTTTTGTATGAATCCGGCCAAACAAAATGGTACACATGTCCCCGGTCCATTGCACAATATTAATCGCGGCTTTTCCTTAAATACTAACCAAAAACTCCAAACCAAGGCGTAAAGAAATGTAAAAACTGTTGTAAACCAACTCTGCCCCACTTCACGTGCCCTTGGTATATAAATGAAGTCATCTTCACTGACGGGTTGTTGCAACTCATCCATGACCAGTTGGATTTTGTCCTTGGACGTGGTATCTGTATTGGCGACTAGAAATTTCATTGGCCTATATTTACTAATATCTTTGGTACGTTGGAACAGTCCTTGCAGGATAATGCACATTTCAGCAGTGTGGCCACCGGAGCCCAGTATACACCAAACTGGATTTGTGTCCATGATGATGATGATGACGATAATTATCCTTTGGTCACTTTGTTTACTTTCGGTCAAATTGTAAACAAAGTACTGGTCGCATTTATGATCCGAATTGGATGAAATTTGGCACAGCTCATTTATTTTGCCTAGGGTCGAATTTGGGATAAATCAGTTTAGATTTAGATATTGCTTCCATATATATTTTCGTCCGATTTTAAGTAAATGGTGCACCAAGGTCCCCATATATCTCTCGATTTGAACGAAATTTTGCATAACGTACTGAATTAAGTGTGGAGTAATGTATGTTAAGTTTCGTGAAAATCGATTCAGATTTAGATATAGCTCCCATATATATTTTCGTCCGATTTAATGTAAATGTTACACCAAAGTCTTTATATATCTTTCGATTTGCACGAAATTTCGCACAGCGTATTGCATTAGGTCTGGAATGATGTGTGTTAAGTTTCTTAAAAATCGTTTCAGATTTAGATATAGCTCCCATATATAATTTCGTCCGATTTAATGTAAATCGTGAACCAAAGTATATATTCTTCGATTTGCACGAAATTTGGCATAGCGTACTGAATTAAGTATAGAATGAGGAATGCAAAGTTTCGTGAACATCGGTTATGATTTACATATAGCTCCCATATATATTCCGATTTTAGGTAAATGGTGCACCAAAGACCTAAAGTTTGTTCGATTGGCACACAATTTTGTGCAATGTACTGAATTTAATATAAATTAAACTCTGGCAAGTTTCGTTGAAATCGCTTCTGATTTAGATATAGCCCCCACATATATATTTTCGTCCGATTTTAGGCAAATGACACCGTTAAAACCCCGAACAAAACATTGATGACGTTTGCATTGTTTGCTTTAAATAAATTTTCCCTAAGTTCATATGTAAATCCAATTATTCATTCCTTTCCTTTTAGGTGATTCCAAACGTCGGCGTATATCCAGTGATGCACCATCTTCAAATAATGATAATGATGATATCATCTTTGTGGCCGATGAAAGTTCAGGCCGAAAGAAAAATAAATGGGAAGTTGTTGATGATGATCTGATGATAAACGATCAACCGCCAGCTGTTATAACACTCTCCTCCGATGATGATGACGACTCCGACACAGAAGGTTTAAAACCAAAAATTAACAAAAATATGACCATGGATCAGAGACAGACATTAATAAAACAAGAAATTATAGATGAATCGGTAGATTTATGTGATGATGAAATTGAACTAATAGACGATGAGTATGATGATAGCCTTAGCGCAGCTGCAGAATTGGCTGATACTAGTGTCATTGATGAATTCTTCGGTGAAGATACCCTACTCAAAGAATTCAAAAGAGAAAATGACTGTAAACCCTCATCGTCCAGGCATCAAATGGATCCGGATAGTGATATAATTACATGTCCCATATGTCAAAGTAAAATGACCCGTGCCGTGTTTGCGGAACATCTTAATGGCTGTACGGGCATTACAAGAAAAATACTACCACCCAAAACGGCACTTAAAAAATTGGCTGCCATTTCAAAAGAGGCTAGACCTAAACGTAGACCCAAACCTTCGTCGTCCACCACCCGAGATATATTGCGGAATGCCGGTTATTCTGATGCCGATTTGGCAGCAATCCAATCAGCCAGTAGTATGGATGAAGATGATGAAGAAGAAGATGAATTTCTGCGTCGATCTGGCATTCAACGTAGAAGTACAAATAATACTACTACTGCATCTAACATTTCATCGCCCCAAGATTTAAATTCCTCATCCGAAGATGAGAACACCAGACGATTCCGTTTACGTAATGTTTACAAGACCACAAGACAGTGTCCCGTCTGTGCCAAGGAAGTTGAAGAGACACAAATGAACACCCACTTAGATGTTTGCTTGCTGTAAACCCCATCCTCCTCCTCCCCCACAAACATTCAACCGCTTTATAGACTTTAAATTGATTTATTTCTTATGTTACCTTTTTTGCTTAAATAGAATTTGTGTTGTGTTTTTGTTTAATCATCATTTTGGACTCCTCCTTAATATTATTAACAAACAATAAATCATCGTTATTATTACAAGCTTATAAAATATTACCAAAATATTTGATTTTTTTGCAACCCAAATATTCGATTTTTGTCAATGGTTCCCACTGTACTATCATCACATCCAGATAAGGCAACAATATCCGTCCCGACATAGATATATCGTTGACACGACAAAAACTCTCAACATAGACCAGTTTTGTTTTCGACCTTCGTGCCAGCTTTTGTATGAATCCGGCCAAACAAAATGGTACACATGTCCCCGGTCCATTGCACAATATTAATCGCGGCTTTTCCTTAAATACTAACCAAAAACTCCAAACCAAGGCGTAAAGAAATGTAAAAACTGTTGTAAACCAACTCTGCCCCACTTCACGTGCCCTTGGTATATAAATGAAGTCATCTTCACTGACGGGTTGTTGCAACTCATCCATGACCAGTTGGATTTTGTCCTTGGACGTGGTATCTGTATTGGCGACTAGAAATTTCATTGGCCTATATTTACTAATATCTTTGGTACGTTGGAACAGTCCTTGCAGGATAATGCACATTTCAGCAGTGTGGCCACCGGAGCCCAGTATACACCAAACTGGATTTGTGTCCATGATGATGATGATGACGATAATTATCCTTTGGTCACTTTGTTTACTTTCGGAAACTTTGGAATAATAAAAAATCGATAGCTTACAACTAATTGATTAATCGTTTCTTTTGGGGGGCAGAATCGAAATGTCAACTGATAAGCAAGTTCTTCTTGTTTTTATTTGCTAATTCATCTTGAAATGATAGCAGACAAAATATATATATTTCCGTTGAAATTTTTATAATTAATTTAAGCGGATTTTTCAATTCGCTAGTATTAAATTAATTAACCTTTATAATCACGGCGTTTACATTAGAACTTTTTACCGGGTTAACCTACTCTATGAAGATTTATTTTACATAATAGAATGGAATTGAATTGGGTGACGTAGGGGATGACAGATACCAAGCAACGGTTCTGATTGGCTTTAACACGAGTAAGCTCCGGCTTATATTGGTCCCTCTTTCATCTCAACTTTTGGACACTAGGAGATTTTAATGCAAAAATCGGAAGGGAAAATATTTTGGGTCCTACGGACCAAAATAGCCGAGGCTTACTCCGCTCAACTTATATTTCCGTTATATATCCGTTGAAATTTTTATAATTAATTTAAGCGGATTTTTCAATTCGCTAGTATTAAATTAATTAACCTTTATAATCACGGCGTTTACATTAGAACTTTTTACCGGGTTAACCTACTCTATGAAGATTTATTTTACATAATAGAATGGAATTGAATTGGGTGACGTAGGGGATGACAGATACCAAGCAACGGTTCTGATTGGCTTTAACACGAGTAAGCTCCGGCTTATATTGGTCCCTCTTTCATCTCAACTTTTGGACACTAGGAGATTTTAATGCAAAAATCGGAAGGGAAAATATTTTTGGTCCCACGGACCAAAATAGCCGAGGCTTACTCCGTTCAACTTACCCACCAAACCGAAGGCTTTGGTGCAGGCACATCTTAATGTAGAGATGACGAATAAACCTGGTGACAGATCTGGTATCAAATATTGGCGGTGAAGAAGATACCCCAGAACCAATAAGAGATGACGGTATAGAGTGTATATCAGCTACCCAAGATGAGGTCAGAGTAGCAATTAATCGGCTGAAAAACAATAAAGCAACAGGTGCCGATGAAGATTACCAGCCGAACTATTGAAGACCGGTGGTCAGATGCTGGTCAGGAGCATGTACCAGCTCATTTGTACAATTTGGCTAAAGGAATACATGCCCAATGATTGGAACCTCAACACCTGTGTACCGTGCATTAAAAAGGAGACGATATGTGTCAATTATAGAGGAATAAGTCTCCTTCGCATCGCATATAAAGTGTTATCCAGCGTGCTGTGTGAACGACTGAAGCCAATGGTCAGGCCTGGCAAATCCACCATTGACCAGATTTTCAATCTGCGCCAGATTCTGGAACAACCAACGAAAAACACATCGACACAGTCCAAATATTCGTCGACTATAAAGCCGCATTCGACAGCCCTATGCGTATAGAGGTGGTTAAAGCCATGTCTTCGCATTGGCAGTAAATGGCGAAAAGACAAAACTGATGGTATCAATGCGAAAGGCGTCCAGTAGACTCGGACCAACTGTGGAACTTGAAAACAACAGCTTCGAGGTAGTGAAGGATTTTACATACCTCGGTACCGCCATAAACAAAACTAATAACATCAGCTGTGAAATCCAAAGGAGAATAGTGTTGGCCAACAGATGCTACTATGGTTTGAGGAAGCAACTCAAGCGCAAGGCCACCTCTCGCTGGACCAAACTCACACTCTGCAAGCCGCTAATATTACCCGTGCTGCTGTATGGATCTGAAGCATGAGTACTTGCGCAAGCAGATGAGTTTTGGAGTGTTTGAGAGAAAAATTCTCCGGAAAACCTATGGGCCGATCTGCGTCGATGGTGAATATCGCCATCGAATGAACCATGAGCTATACAATATATTCTCAGATATCGACATAGTCAGACGGATTGAGCTGCAGCGACTACGTTGATAAGGCCATGTTGTGAGAATGGACGAAGATGCCCCAGCTCAAAAGGCATATAAAAGCGAGTCAAGTGATGGTTCACGCAGAAAGGGAAAGTCACGAATCCGTTGGAAAGATCAAGTAGAATAAAAAATGTCGAAAAATTATCTTTCAAATTGGATGAGTTGCGCAAAAGACCGACGCACCTGGAAATCTTTTTTATGCTCGGTTCTGTCACAAGCCAGCTAAGTAAGCAAGTAGGAATGGAATTGATAATTTAAACCCACTGCAAGAATCTATTCATTTTTCAGATAGCATATAGGAAAAATTGTTATCGGTGTAGGAAATTGTACAGTTACTGGAATAAAAAACAAAAGCAACTTTCCTCAATAACTTACAGACAAATGCGG